TTGCCATGTTCCTGAACTGCATGATGATTCTGTTGACTGTCAAAAGCGGGATTCTCAAATTCTGCCGCTGACTTATTCCACCATCTACTTGACCAACTATCCTTTCTCTAACAAAATCTGACAATTCGAGAGAACCTTGAGTTTTAGGCATGTTGTAGCACAAGATAATTAATATGCGGACCATTTTCATTTATATAGAGCTCTGGGAACACAAATTAGTTAGCATAAATCAGTTAAATGACGAAAAATTAGGTATCTATTTACTCGTGACCACTCAGTGTATATCACTGCTTAGTCATGATAAACTAAGAAATAAAAAACAGCAAGAAAAAAAAATGGCTGAACTATGCTTTCGCTTGTACAAGAGATTTCCCTCCCTATTACCCAGAAAAATCAGAGCAGTAAATGTTTGAGAGTTTTTAATACTGGACCCCTCTTGTATGAAATATTCTTGAAAATCTGATAAAAGAAGCCTTGTAAAATGATCTTTTGAAACACACTTTCATAAAAGAAAATCAACATAGATTCATTAATGTGGAACCTTCCCTTAGTAATCTGTTAATTTCTTTGCAGGGATGTTACTTTATTTGAATGATGGAAAATGTGTGGACTTTAGGTAATTAATTTTCTAAAAACTTTTGATAAGGTGTCACACAAAAACTTGAATATGAAAATAGCAGTGGTCGGTGTTGTGGAAAGAGTAGTAAACTGAATTGTAGGATAGTTGGATGAGAGAAACAAAAAGTTATTGTGTCCAATCACACAAGAAACTTGTTACTAGTAGAGAATTTCAGTGGTCAGTGCTTGGGCCCCTGCCTTTTCTTATTTACACTAATGATTTTGCTAGAGGCAAAACTCGTATATTTGTAAAGTTCATGAATGACATTAATCTTTCTGGTTTTTCTAAATTAAATGAGGATGTTGATGTACTACAGAATGACTTGGATCAATTTGTTCATTGGACAAGATAATCTTCAGAAGTCATATGGTTAGTTTGTGGGAAAGATAGTCAAAACTTCTTATACTTCATGAAAGTACATGTATTTGAAACTGTATGTTGGACAATCTTCCTTATAAACAACAATCAGTACACTCACCACAAATCAGTGTTTCTTTTTAAGCAGTATTCTTCACCTTGAACAGTTACTAGATGAAAATATGATTGATGAACACAAACTATGAGGAAGAAAGGCTCTTAGAAACCATTCAAGATAGTTTTCTTCATTACTTGGTAAAGAAACCTACAAGGAATGATGCTAATTTTAGATTTATTGTTAACCTCTAATATGGAAATGTTTGAGAGGGTGGAGAGTGGGGAACATCTGGGTGAAAGTTATCACTGCTCAATTAGGTTTGATGTTTTACTGCTTATAGAGATTAGGAATAATAAGAATTTGGTTACAGCTTTAAAGAACACACATCTGTCCCTGTTAATACAACAACTGTAAAAAAATTAGTCCCCTAGTGAGTCATCAGTAAGCTTACAGACTTACAACACTCAAGTTTAAGGTTTGATTCCCTGTGGTGGACAGAGCACAGACAGCCTATTCTGTAGGTTTGTGCTAAAAAACAACAGCAGCAGCAAATAAATTACACACCGTAATTCAATAACAAAAAATTTGTCAAAACAAACATACAGATGGCAGCCAGACTGTGTACTCATAGAACTTGAAATATATTTGTCATGTCATTTCCATAGGCCTAATTACCTTCTTGAAATATAGATATTTCTAACGAAAATGTAGTGCAGTGTGTACAAATTAAAAATTTGAATTTACGACTTAATAGGTTCCTTCCAAGTGGGGGCCTGGACACATGATACCATTGTATAGCCACCACTGGGTACTGATAGTATAAAAACCTCTGTTTTATTTATGCTATATTCTAAAATCAATAGGATGAGAGTATACAAGTTTAAGATTGGGAATAAGACAGGCTAGACTTTAGCTAGGACAACTATTTTTTCAACAGTGTTAGGGCTTATCGAATGAGTTGCAGTCACCCCACTGATGGTACTGGAAGTTAGCACTTTTCACGAGTTGAAAAGGGGAATCAATAAATTCCTGAAAAATGAAGAATGAGTTTAGGTTTTCACTTGTTACAATGGGTTAGTGTGCTGAGACAACTTTGAAGGACCCATTCGTCCCTTGTCCATGTATTCTGTTTACAAAATACAAAAAAAAAAGAAAGAAAATAAAACTAAGTGCATTAACATCTTTGAACTTTTCATACTAAGGCCATCAAAGAAGGAATCAAGTTCTTTTTTTGGGGGTGAGGTGGAAACTGGCAACATTAATTTGCATGAAAACTGGTAAGGGTTTATTAATATTAACTGTTGTATAGAACAAATGTGCAAAATTTTTCATAATTGCCATTTCCATTACCTTTCATTGGTAATTTACAAGCATTTAATTAATGTTAATAAGTTGCACAAAAGGCAAAGTTACTACGCTACGTAACGTCAAAATTAACTTAACTTCAGTCTCAAGTAAATATATCTTACAAATTACATTTTCAGAAATGCAAGTTAAATTAAAAATAAAAGGTTTTCTGCACGAATACATCATATCACTTTTTTTATTTAACACATCTGCTATAGCACTAATAACTTCGGTGACAAATTAAATTTAAGAATTAAGACGAAATTAACAGTTTGGCTCTTAAGCTTGTTTAAATTAACCACACTGTCTACAGTCAGATGTTACTGTCAGTGTCACTAAGACTCAGAGATACGAGTGCCAGACCTAAGCTAGCGAAAACTTACCCATTTTCGGATTGGACATGGTCGCTAAGGGACCGAATAACTTTTCAGTAAATTTTACTATACAATTAAGTTAGCTGGTAAAAAGGCCTGAAAACCTTCCAGTCACAAATATTCCTAAAAATCTACATATCAAGATATTACATAAAACCACCCAAAGGTTAAATATTTATAACGTAAGCCTAACATAACTTCTTCCTTCCTAAGCAAACAGTAACTTAAACTGTAGTACTTTTATCTCTCGTTTCAAACGAGACTTAAAAAAAAAAGAGAAAGAAAGGGAGGCGTGATCACCTGTTTCTATTCTTAATGCTTAACAAACAAATCGTAATTTAGTTTAAAATAAATTGATTATTTTATGACATATATTATCAATAACAAACAATTGAAAGGTAAATTTCACTGACTTCACATTCAAAACTATTACAAATAAGCAACAAAACGTATAAAAGTGCAAATATGGTTTATTAAAATTTTAAACGATCTTGAAATAAAAATTGTTTGTTTTTATTAGGTCGTCAAGAAATTAATGTCGCTTTTTTTTAGATGAAAAAACCCGAACAACTTGTATATCAAAACGAAATATTTATCAAATGAAATAGTATCCATTCTTATCGATATTGTTTT